ATAACCATAATATAGTTGGAGCTATATTACTTTATATTAGATACGAAGGATCACGCTCTCACAGAATACCAGCGCAAAGCAGCATTATAATGCTGCTGTGTTTCGTATGCTAAGTGAAGAGAATCAGAGACCCTTTTAACTGGAAACGAGGCATTCCATCTTGGTCTTCAGGGGTGATAACGCATCTGAATTTTGGTTCGTATTTGAGGATAAATGTAGATGTAGATATCTATAGGTCGCAGCATCCACTTACCATCAGGTCGACTGTTCGCTCGTATGTCACCCTCATCCTATAAAACAAAAAAATTAGAGAGGTTCATGACCAGCTGTCGAGTTTTAAGGGCTGATGATGATGAAGGAAAACTTTTTTAATTTTCTTACTTGATGCCCACCAACATGGCCCAACGAGGTTTGGATGTATTTTTTCTCTCGTTCGCTTATTATTTTTGATTCTTCTGGCGAATTCGAGCCGAGTGCTAGGTACACAATCGTCCAAATAACTCCGAGTATTCCATTTGAGTAGAAAATATATGGCCAACCACAGTAATCCGCTATGATACCGCCTATCAGTAACTGAAGAGCCGTACCCAGCTGCGCTCCTGAAATAAGTACCAATCAGTGATCATTATAGCGTACCAAAAGCTTACTGCTGAATGGTAGACCTCTCCCAGAGAGGGCCTCATAGTAGGAATATTTGCCATAGCTTAGCACAACTAGTCTTGATTGGCCGACGGGTATTAAAGGATGACCGAGATGTTGCTTTCATCTATGCTCTATGGTAGATTAAGAATTTCTTCTGTTACTTGTAAAGTCTATCTTAAGTTGGGGTGATGATGACGTCAATACTTAACAAATAATGTGAGGGCATTGGAGGGCAAACTTTTCCCTATTTCATTCACTAATGATAATGTTAATCACTACAAGAGTTAGGGCTGTTTTAATACATACAAAGTTCCAGAATCATTTAAACTGTTTTTGGTCAAGCCCTTATTTAAACATGATGATAAAAAGATATTAATAACTACCATCCAATAAAAATTGTGTCCGTTTGCTCCAAATTATTTGAAAAAGTTCCGCAAAGTAGGCTCACTCATTATTTCAATGAAAGTAATTTTATAAAAACAAAACGATATAGATTTCAGCAAAATAAATCAACCATGATGGCATGTTTTTTTCTAATAAAAATGATTACAGTGCAATAGATGATAAGGTAAATGTAACACTTGTATTTTTGATATGTCAAAACCATTTGATTCTGTTTGCCATGACACCTTATTATGTAAGTTAGAAAAGTGTGGGATAATGGAGGCCACACACCTTCAGTTTAATCTCTGCGATAAAACTGTGCAGTCGAACTATACAAATAAATTGCACTTCCCTACAGTTCACACACGTTCAAGTAAAACTGCGCAGTTTATTCATTTCGTTCGGCTATGCCATCGACAGACGACGTTTAAGCTATTGTTACATTATTGTTCATAAAAAACAAGAGGCAGAAAAAAATTAACAGAAGCGGAAATATCGTAGGGCCTGGTGTAAAAGTTGACTAAAGAAAAAAGAAGCTCAATCTTATATAAATTTGTCAAAGGAATTAACGAACTTTCCAAGAGACTGGAATATCTTTTTAAGAATGGCTAGTGATACGTACGTGCTTTTTTGCTGTCTGTTGTAATTCCAATGATTGAAAAGCAATACAATAGCGAAAACTGAGCGCTCGGTATACAAGTAACGATTATCGGCACAGTTTCCTCCGATTCCGCTGTATCAATTCAAACATTCATCCACTCCGTTTCACAACTATAATATACGTTAATAAACGACAGGTGTAATTTCGGTCGGCAGTCCCGTCGAACTCGTGAGCCAGGTCCAGATATTTTGTTCGCTTATCTGTTTCGGCTTTCACGAGGTTCACTTCATACTGAATGGTAATTTTGACCAAAATATCCTTGACTGTACCCGGACCATCAGCACAATATAAGGATTATTCGCAAGAATAACCCTGTCTGTGATGATGGCCCGGTCCCAGTAGAGCTGGCGCGGTCATTTTCGAGCACGACTTCCGGCAAGTACCTGTAATAAGGCAGTTACTGGTCCACGAGACCATATTTCAGAGTGGTGTGGAATTCTGGCTACTAGGTTGTGAATATGCAAGTACTCAGAGTTAGAAAGCGCCGAAAAACCGGAGATGTTATGCCTAGGTGACTCACCGGGATGGCGACAAGATTGACAGATGTTGACGGTGCCATCCCTTAGGATGTATCTCTAATAGTTGTTGGTCTTAATAACCTGATACTGTATCGCACAGACAAAAGTCTCGGTTTCCCCAAAGGGGAGTGGAGGGAGGCAGCTATGTCTACGAAAGACTCATGTAGATCCTTGCAGAACCTTCAGTGGAGCTCCTTCTCCTGCCATACGGTCTTCCGGTTGGAAATGCTCTGTACTGCCAGATCTTGCCATTGCTCGTTGGCTGAGGATAGAGGAGTAAGCCCTTTATCACAAGAAATGACGTCCCCATAGAATGGATAATTCGATCTCGTCTGAAAGTAATTATGGAGGCTGCACATTTCGCGATTACGCAGGGTAAGCGCGCTTAAAAAGCCTCACCCACCATGTTTCCATGGCAAGTACAGCTTTATAATCGACGATCTCGGGTGATGCATCCTATGGGGGGACGTGACAGTTTGCGGACTTTTCTATCCAGAGCGTTAAGTTTAGTTTGAGTCCACATACGTATGCAAAAGCTAACGTACAGGCATGACCCAACTGATATATGCATGTGTCTTATTCACACTGTACAAAAGGCTGTTAATTACCTTGATCAGGCGTGCATAAAACAAATCACAAACGGAATGTTTCATTCCCACCTCATCAATACCGATGTTCTGTGACATACCCAGGTATCGGTATGTTTCAGCTCGGAAAGGGTCCTTAAGTTAAGATAAAACACAGATAAGTTATTTAATTTAATGTTATTATTTCAAATCTATCTGTAGGGATGCAAACCATTGCAGTGAAAATCGCATCGCTTGGTGGTTGGGTGCGCGAATGGTTAAAGCTATGGTGGGGTGAACGATTAAGTGGAATATATTAACGTGGTTTAAAAGGAAAAAAAAACAAAATGGCAGGCTTGGCACGTGGCGGACTTTGGGTAATATACTTGCTTTGAAATTAATTTTGCGAGTTGGCCGACACGACGGGAGATGAGCTGATGCGGAAATGCAACAACAAATAATCAGCTCATTAATAAGAACGGGCACTTACCTGGGGAAGTGGTGAGCGGCCTCTCTCTACGACCATGCGGTCATGATAATTGCGAACTGTTGTCAGCTTGCGGACGCGACCATAATTTGTATTGCACTGGGTATTGCACTGGTCGTGCCGGGATACAGATACAAGAGGACGGAAGCCCGCCATTGACGTCATTGATTTCGTTTATACGGCAGTAAAGATTTTTAAAAATAATCCCGCTTTCTTTGGAAAGAAAATATACTTACTATACTACCGTTACTTAATGAGAAACTAATAATATATTGAATACACCTCTGTTCTAATAAATTAAAAGAACAACTTCACAATTAAATTAACAGAACATAAAGGTCAAACTGTACAGTAAATTCAATTATGTACTCTTTTTTCATGAATTTAATTTATAATATTTGTGTAATATTCAAACTTTTTTAACATAATATAATTAATTACTGTATATATGAATTTTAATTTTATTAATTTAGTATCATACGTTTGGCACTTCTGGAATAAAACGAACAATGTAATAACCGAAAGGGTTGTTAATATGTAACACACGTATATGATAAGTTAATATTTAAAAAACACTATACTCAAAATAGAGCCGTGGTAGCTCAGTGATTAACGCTCGCTGTAAATATAACAGAACGCGAGTAACCCGGGTTCGATCCCCGCCGGCACCAATGAAATTGTTAATTGCAATTTTAAGTGCCGATTTACCACGTGCTCGGCAGTGAAGAAAAACATCGTGAGGAAACCTGCATGTCTGAGGAATAAGAAAAAAAAAATATTTCGAAGACATGTGAACACGCATTTGGGCAGCGCGGCGGACACTTCCTTGCCCTAAACCCTATCAGAAATGAGGGGAGGCCTGAGCCCAGCAGTGGGACATATACAGGCTGTAACTTTACTTTGCTTTTACTTTATACTCAAAATAAATAATTTAAATTTTTGCTTACATTTTTATCACAAGTTTAAGAAGAATTTCAATGTAAATAAACCTTAAATTTGATTGCATATACACAATACTAACAATATGACTTACCAACGTACACAAAGACTCCTATCCGTGTTTTCTCATGCAAGGGAGCCCATTTTGCAAGAAGATTATGCGCCGACGGCATAAGAAATCCTTGAAATAAACCTTGGATTACTCTACAGGCGCAAACCATTTGCCATCCTCCCTTTAAAGACATAATAAAAATAATTGAACAATCAAATATAATGGCCGATTTATAATGGCGAGGAAATTCAGCACTCGTGTAAAAGACTTAGGATTAACCTTGGATTGTTCGTTCTCTTTATTTGCGCAGTCATGTTGAGGAAGTTAGCCGTAAAGTTTGTGCTACATTGATACAATTGTACAGACACAAAAATATAACCTCCTTGTATGAAGAAACTTCCAATTCAATTTCTTATACTTCCAATATTTGATTACGCCGATGTGTTGATTGTGATGATTAATATATATAATATAATAATAATAATAATATATAATATTATAATATAATATATTATTATATAATATATATAATAAATAGGCGTAGGGAAGTGACGACCCCATCGCCCGCTGACGAAACAGTTATGTGACAAAACTGCGACGTCGGCGCAGTCAGTCAGCATCCTGCCAAGAGGTGTGAGCGCCGTGCCTCGGCAAAATTGTAGATGCAAAGGTCCGTTTGTGCATATGGCCCACCCACGAAACGGTACCGGGCTTGGGCGTCTCCCGGTATTTGGCGCCCATAAAATGGATGATGGCACAGAAAGGAACGCGCATAGGACCGCTGCCTGGGGGTCGCCGGGGCGCGTGTGGAGCTGGCGCTGGACGCGGCAGCATGCGGGCCGTCAGCCGAGCGCGAGGAGCGGCACGATCACCTAGCAGCCCCTCGCATCCATCATCCCCACCAGAAGGCTTGGTGTCGGCTGGGTCTTCTCGGACCCAGCAAGCGGCACCCGCCGCTGGTGGAGCACGTTGCATGCGTTGGACAAAATCCATGAACGAAAACGCATTGCGGGCGTACTATAGGGCGAAAGGCGAAGAAACTGTGGGAATAGCGTATAGGTCTCGGATGCATTGCTTTTTTGCTGAGCTGGAGCCGTCTATCTCCGTCACGGAACAAAACCTGGCAGACCGAGTTCGGTACATCATGCGCTCGAAAATATTTGATGATGCCGAACTCGAACGACTACGACGTGAGGCTATTCCGTCGTCGAATGAGAATCGGCTATGGCTGGAGATGCGGCGCCACATTCGACAGACCAGCATCCACACGTGGAAGCCGCCATGGATCTTCCAGTTGTGGTTGATTCAAACGACGATGAAATAGCCTCCCACGAACGATAGAGCAAATGAGGAGTACATTGGAAGAGGCGATTTTGGAAACGCGCAGCACCCCTCTCGAAAATCGACCGCGACTTCCCCCGCATACTCCTAAGCAAGCGAAATCGGGCTGTCGTCAGGGCTCTTAACCCAATGCTGGTGACCTATTTGGAAGCCAGCCGGGACCTTTGCGAGACGGGCTCGATTCTCTTTGGAGCCGCAGTGGCAGTTTGCCGTATTATTGGCGCCAAACTTCCCGTGGCTGGACGCGCTACTAGACAAAGTAGCGCCATCCCAGCCTGGAGAAAAAGAATCGAGGACCGTATCGCAAAGGCAAGGGCCTTTATCGGCAGACTGACAAGCTTCAGATCGGGTAATAATAGACCAAGAATTGTGCGCACCGTAAGGATGGCGTTTGCTGGGACAAATGTCAGTTTGTCCCAGCGAAAAGCAAAAAGGGAGCGCAAATCGCTGCTTGAGGGAAGCGGATTCGACGATTTTCCGAGGGTTCAACACGGTTCAACCAGAATCGTCTCTTCCAGAGTGATCAGAAGAGGCTCTATAAATCATTGGAGCGACCAAAGGTATGTGGAATGGGCCAAGGACCGGATGAGGCTGACATTATCGCATTCTGGCATGGCCTGTGGTCAGAGCCCGTAAACCACAGCGAGGGCCCTTGGACGGAAGTTGTGGCGAGCCAGGGTGCGAGTGTTACGCCTATGGACCCCATCACAATAACGCCAGAAGACGTGTCTGAGGCGGTCCGTAGGGCCCCGAACTGGAAAAGTCCGGGGCTCGACGGGCTGCATGATTACTGGCTGAAGGGGTTCATGGTGTGTCACGCTGTGCTCGCCCGACAGTTTCAAGAGGCTCTCGACCAGAAGTCGCTCCCGAGCCACTTCACTACTGGGATCACTCACTTGGTTCCTAAAGACCAGGATACCACAGACCCGAGCAAATACCGCCCCATCACGTGTCTACCCACCATATATAAGACACTGACATCCATTTTGAGCGCGAGAATCACTCGTCACCTGGAGCTAAACCAGGTGATGTCACGCGCTCAAAATGGATGTCGGGGCGGTGGTCGTGGAACTAAGGAACCACTCCTCATTGACGCGGTCATAGGCAAAGTGGTGAAACGCAACCGTCGGAACTTCTCTGCCGCCTGGATAGAATACAGAAAAGCGTTCGACTCGGTGCCCCATACATGGCTAAAGAGGGTCCTCGAGCTGCACAAGATTGACTGTACAGTTAGAGACTTCCTCGAGCAGTGTATGGGGCAGTGGAGTACAATCCTCTGTCATCTAGGCGAGCGGATGACGGCTGCGGAAAGCCGCATAAGGATAGGAAGGGGTATATTCCAGGGCGACTGTCTGAGTCCAATCTGGTTCTACCTCTCTTTGAACCCTCTCAGTACTTTACTGGAGGGCTCCGGGAGGGGATTTCAGGTTCGGAAAGGAGGTGCAAAAGTATCCCACTTTTTCTATATGGATGACCTCAAGTTATTCGCCTCCAGTCGCTCCCATCTTATGGAATTGCTAAACATCACTTGTGAATTTAGCAATTCTATTAGAATGGAGCTGGGAACGGATAAGTGTGCGGTTCTCCATGTTGAAAGGGGAAGGGTTGCTAACTCTGAGGGCATAGACTTATCTATGCCCGTCAACTTAAGGGCCCTTTCCGAGGCTGAAACATACCGATACCTGGGTATGTCACAGAACATCGGTATCGATGAGGCTGGTATGAAACAGTCAGTTTGCGACATGTTTTATGCACGCTTGACTAAAGTGCTTAACAGCCTTTTGTCTGGTGTGGATAAGACACATGCATATAACTGTTGGGTCATGCCTGTCCTCATGTATACCTTTGGCATACTCAGGTGGAGTCAGAGTGAACTTAACGCCCTGGATAGAAAAGTCCGCACTACAATGACGTCCCATAGGATGCATCATCCGAGATCGTCGGTAATGAGGCTGTACTTGCGGCGAAAGCATGGTGGGCGTGGCTTCCTGAGCGCGCTCACCATGCATAATCGCGAAGTGTGCAGCCTCCGTCATTACTTCCTGGCGAGATCGGATGATCCATTCTATAAGGACGTCATTTCTAGTGATAAAGGACTTACCCCTCTATCCTTAGCCAACGAGCAATGGCAAGACCCGACAGTACAGAGCATTTCCGACCGGAAGACCGTATGGAAGGAGAAGGAGCTCCACGGGAGGTACTACAGGGCTCTACATGAGCCTGACGTTGATACAGCCGCCTCCCTCAACTGGCTACGTTTCGGTGACCTCTTCGGGGAAACCTAGGGTTTTGTCTGTGCAATACAGGATCAGGTTATTAAGACCAACAACTATCGGAGATACATTCTAAAGGATGGCACTTTCGACGTCTGTCGAGCTTGTCGACATCCCGGGGAGTCACTTAGGCATGTCATCTCCGGTTGTTCGGCGCTTTCTAACTCTGAGTACTTGCATAGGCACAACCTAGTAGCCAGAATTCTACACCAGGAGCTCGCTCTGAAATACGGTCTCGCGGACCGAAAATTGTCGTATTACAAGTATTTGCCGGAAGCCGTGCTCGAAAATGACCGCGCCAAGCTCTACTGGGACCGGGCCATCATCACAGACAGGACTATTCTTGCGAATAAGCCTGATATTGTGCTGATGGACCGGGCACAGTCAAGGATATTTTTGATCGACATTACCATTCCGTATGACGAGAACCTCGTGAAAGCCGAAACAGAGAAACGAACAAAATATCTGGACCTGGCTCACGAGATGACTGACATGTGGGGTGGTCTGCCGACCGAAATTATTCCTGTAGTCGTTTTTGCAAATGGGCTAATCCCAGTCAGCCTCTCGGGTCATCTGAGGCGACTGGGACTCCGTGACGGACCGCTCCGGGCTCAAATGCGAAGGGGCGGTGCTCCTCGATACCGCCCGCATCGTCCGCCGGTTTCTTTCCCTTTCCCCCTAACCCTCGGCCGTTTGGTCTCCCCTGCCGAGGGCTCCCATCTGGTTGGATCTTATTTATTATGTAGTTTTTGTGTTTATTTTATTTTATTGATATTTATGTATGTTTATCTTTTCATTTTAATTTATAATTATATATTTATAGAACCCAACCAGGTGAGAAAATTATATAGATACCCCAATAATAATAATAATAAATTGGCGTAGGGAATTGACGACCCCATCGCCCGCTGACGTAACAGTTAAGTGACAAAACTGCTACGTCAACGCAGTCAGTCAGCGCCTTGCGAGAGGTGTGAGCGCCGTGCCTCGGCAGAATTCAGGGTGCAAAGGCCCGTTTGTGCTTATGGCCGTCCACGATACGGTGCCGGGCCTGGGCGTCTCCCGTTAATGGACGCCCATATTATGGATGATGGAAAAAAGATAGTGCGCAAAGGGCCGCTGCCTGGAGGTCGCCAGGGCGCGTCTGGTGCTGGCGCTGGACGCGACAGCATGCGGGCCGCCAGCCGAGCGCGGGGTATTGCAAGACCACCTAGCAGCCCCCCGCATCCATCATCCCCACCAGAAGGCTTGGTGTCGGCTGGGTCTTCTCGGACTCAGCAAGCGGCACCCGCCGCTGGTGGAGCACGTCGCATGTGTTGGTCTAAATAATCGAAGTCGAAGTATCTAATCGAAGTGGATTACATACCCGATTTGAGCCATCATGCGTTTATATCATGTGAAGTCAATCTTACTACGCACAAATGTCCACCGCGACTTGTTTTTTATAGACCAATTAAAAACATAAATCCTGAACAATTTCATCGAGTTTTAAAGGGTATAAATTGGGAAAACATCGTGAATGTGCAAAATGTTAATGTTATGGTTGCTGAATTTAATTCAACCATATTATCTATATATAATCTGTTAGCTCCGATCAAAAAAGCCTATATTAAGGAACAATATCGTCCCTGGTTAACATATACAGTCAAATTAATGATGAGACTCCGTGATCGAGCACATTCAAGGGCACGTTTAACAAAAATAGATTCACATGTAAATTATTATAAACAATTAAAAAAACAGGTCGTGACTGCTATTTATAACGAAAAGACCGCTTATTTTAACACGTACATTAATTGTAATATTAGAAACTCTAAAACGTTATGGACGCACTTACATCGTGAAATAAATATAAAAAATAAACATAATACTTGTCTACCATACAATTTGCGTGACCCAAAAAAAAATTAATAAGCATTTCCTTGACGTTCCATGCCAAAATTTTGCTTCTCAATCCGCTATCAACTACTTCGAAACCCATAAATTTAGCTCTAAAACTTTTGAATTTAAGGAAATAGATAGTAATACAGTTTTAAAAATTCTACATGATCTGAAGTCGAATGCCATTGGGTTGGATGAAATTTCACTGGAAATGCTGTTATCCACTCTCCCATACTCTTTAGATGTTATTACGGTAATTATGAATAGTTCTCTGAGAGCTAAGACATTTCCCAAACAATGGCAAACTGCTTTAGTAACACCGATTCCTAAGACAGATAATATTAGGAATTTTAAAGACCTGCGACCTGTTAGCGTATTACCCTGTTTGTCTAAAATCCTAGAGAAAGCTGTATGTAATCAGTTAACTTATTATTTAGACCAAAATGAAAACCTACCGAGTGTACAGTCTGGCTTTAGGAAACGACATACCACTACAACAGCTTTGGCCGATGTAGTGGATAATGTTTTAAGTGCTCGGGATACCGGTATGGTTACAATTCTAGTTCTTCTAGACTATTCCCGTGCATTTGACACGTTAAATAGGGAGTTTTTACTCTCTAAATTAAACTACTATGGATTAAGCTCGGAAACTATAGATTGGTTTCGTAGCTATTTTAATGACCGTAGGCAAATTGTCGAAGTAATAGATGAAAACGGCAATAAAATAACATCTGATTGCTGTGCTGTTACAAGAGGTGTTCCGCAGGGTTCAATACTTGGTCCCTTGATTTTTTCGCTGTATATCGTAAAACATATATTAAACTGTAGCTCGCATATATATGCTGATGATATACAAGTGTATATTTCTTTCAAGCCAAATGAGAGTACTGTAGCCATACAAAAATTACATGAAGACCTAAATCGTATAGTCGACTGGTCTGAAGCAAATACATTAGTACTCAATCCTAATAAAACGAAATATATGCTACTTGGTACCAAAAAACAAATAAATAAAGTTTTGGCAAATCATCCTTTAATTTCAATTAAAAATGTAAATATTGATCGAGTTACTGAGATTAGAAATTTAGGAATATTGATGGATGAGGCACTACACTTCGAAAAACATATAATAAATAACGTTAAAAATTGTTTCTACAGATTAAAAGTTCTATACCAGATAAGGGATGTATTAAAGACGGAAGTCCGTATCAGATTATGTGAGTCCTTAATGCCGTCCAAATTCAATTATGCGGATGCAGTAATAGGTCCTAGATTTCTCAACCGTTCAAAGAAACTTATACAGCGCGTACAAAATGCCTGTGCCCGTTTCTGTTTTAAAATACCTCCCCGTGCACATGTTACACCTTACATTAATAATGCGAAAATGCTCAAAATGGATTACCGGTGGCAGTTGCATTTTGCTACGCTGTTGTTTGGTTGTATAAAATACAGGACGCCGTCTTATCTCTATGAAAAATTGCG